CATCGGGACTTGAACCCGCGACCTTCCAGCTTGTGCCTCAATCAACTACGCTACCGCGTGCCACCTGAATAGATCACCGATGGTCATACTTATGGGTATACCGAAACGGAATGTTGAAGACATGAAAACAGAATAGGAGTTAACATTAATATTACATATTCCTAGATTTATTGAGGCGGGTCACAATCACTGAGCTCTCTTAGGCATTCATTGTCTTACACCCTTCGGCACTGGAATCATGGGTTTGAACCCCACTCGATGTATGGATACGTCTGTGCAGTGAATTCGATTTACTGAGTTCAAAGGCAGCAGAAAATTTGGAGAAACAAATCGCAGTCATCTTCAGGACAACTGAGGAAGTCAACCAAGAAAGCAGTAGAAGCAGGTGGCAAGCAAGCCGGACTTACCTTCGGCTTCTGCTGTTTTTTTTTCTAGTCTTACTCTTTCACCCTGAAGATGACGGCGGTATATTCTTCCGAAACGCCGGGCTGTCGTTGAACTCTACAGCATTACAAACTTGAAGACAGTGCTCCTTAGAGCCGCGCCACAGCTCCTGCGGTCAGTCGCCGGTTTTCCACTGAGGCCTCCTGGGTTCAATCCCAGGTCACGTCTTGCGGAATTCAAAGTGAAGGAAGTGGGACTGGCGCATATTTACTACGAGAGTCGGTATAGCGACGTGATGGACGGCCCGGGTTCGTTTACCGGCAGTGAAATCGCTTATTTATCTTCTCTACAGTGTCCACACCAGCTCTGAGGCCCACCCAGCCTCTTTTCCTATGGATAGAGGGAGCTCTTTCTCGAGCAGCAAGCAGGCAGGGGCGTGAAGCTAACCACTCACCTCTGTCTATTGTTGGGGGTCAAGAAAGTTGGAACAATACCTCCACTTCCCCATATGTCTTCATGGCATAGTCCTTAACTAATTAAAGCTGGGGACAACTTTAATTTCTTACAATTTTTTACTTGATTTTGTCCTACCAATTGTCATTCTATCAGCTGCTCCGTAATCATGAATTATCCTATGGATAACGACAGCGTTGCTAAACAAATAAACTTAAACTTAATATTATATTTCAGAATTCTTTTGCATTGGGGCACCATTTTAAGTTGTAAAGTATTCCGTACGTAATGTAATAAAGGTCAGTCCTTTCTTAAAAGACACTAAAATATATTTAACACATTACATGTTCTTTGTTAATATTTTAAATTTCATTAACTATGTACATTCATTGTTCTTGTTACATGTTTCGACCGCCTGAGGATACTAAGGACCAAGTGTACAGTCCAGTGGTCTCCCAAAATAATAAACGTTGCCTGATGATGACCTACTTGCGGCCGAAACATGTAGCAAGTACAACGAATATACATATTTAATGAAATTTAAAATATTAACAGAAAACGTTTCAGTGTGTTAAATATATTTTAGTGTCTTTTAAGAAAGGACTGACTTTTGTTTCATTACAGACGAAATTGTACTTTACAATGTAAAATGGTTAAAATTAACATATCTGTTCATTGTTTCAGCGTCGGTGTTTTTCTGTGTTGACAGAGGCCTCCTGACAGGCCGATCCTGCATCTAGGGACTCATATACAAATAAGATTGTGGAAGTCGGAGAACACGAGGCCTTGCAAAGCATTGATTTGTTGTGGATACAAGAAAACGAAGGTGTACTTTAGAAACTGGGATTTCCTGTACATGAATTAATTTGTAGCATACTTCAATCTTGGAGGAGCACACGGAAATTAAAAATGATAGACCTATATTACGCTGGTGCTTATACTCAAGTTCTGGCGGAGACAGGGCCGTGCGGACAAGTACGTGTTTTAGAGACCTACAAAGCCTTCAAACTGTCACGTGTACGGGGAATACGACTGAATAATGATGGTTCTAGGTCGGATAATTGGATTTATTGACACATCTTTCTACGGTCTCTCTTAGTTACAAGCCGTACAGCGCTATCGCTGATTTACACAGCCTCTGAAGATGGAGGCGCTACGTTCCTCCGAAACGTCGGCCAAAACGAAGAATACACGGTGCCTAAACCCAGAAGACAACTTTCTTCATTGTCATCGCCGTGAAAACCTCAAAACTTACATAGTATTCCTCTATGGGGAGGCTATCCATCGACGAAGATGGAGGCGCTACGTTCCTCCGAAACGTCGGCCAAAACGAAGAATACACGGTGCCTAAACCCAGAAGACAACTTTCTTCATTGTCATCGCCGTGAAAACCTCAAAACTTACATACACACTCTCCAGTTCACAGCTGCACCCGCACTAGGATTCCCAGTCTTCACTAGTCGTATCCTGGCAACGGATCTCAACACAGAAACTAATACTTCAAATCACTATGAAGTCTTCTTGCCATTTCTTATTCAATCACATTGGACTGCCGAATCCCTGAATACTGATCCACGATTCCTCAATTCTCCAGGCATATCTCTCTAAACTAGTCTCCGTGGTTCTTGACTCGGTACTAAATAATGCTCAAAGTCAAAGTCAAATTCACATTGCGACTGACGGTCAGTCTGTCAGCCAGTCAGTCTTGGTGTGGAACCCCATCTGAGACTCATGACTAGATATTTATTACTGTTTTACAGTTACGGTCTTGTTTTTGTGGGGCGTCCTCTCTGACGAGAGGACTGGTCTGTCTTTTTACAGTGTCATTGTCCGCAGTAGTAAGTCATTTGTCATCATGTGAAAGATATTTATATTTTACATGTTAAACTTGTTAAAAATGTATATACAATAGATACAGGGCCTAAAAACAGCTTCCCACTATACGGACGCGACACGGACACATGGAAAATACTTCTATTGCCCAGCAACGGATGTCTTATTGTTGTCACGCCCGCTTAGCAAATAGGTGTTGACTGCATGTTGCATAGCAACGAGCACAGCATAGTCCCAAAGAGAACACGGCAGCTATTGTTGTGTGTTCGTTGTAAAGTGTTTATTGCCTCGTTGCTTAGCAAAGGGGTCTATACGTCAAAATATTCTGGAAGTGCAAGTCAGTTCTCATATGGTCAGCTAACTTTCTTTGATAATGGAGCTTTAAAGCTTTCTTTCGGCTACTTCAGTACACAAATTACAGCCTTCGAATTTTCTTTGACTACTTCTTATGGGTACCTGGCAAGTAATTAGAATTAAAGAGAATTATGATTTGCGTATAGCGTTTGGCTATGCAGTATATTATTATATGCTAATTCTGAAGCACACAACTTGAATCTCACTTTGGGAAACGGTTATATGTTCCTGATCCTATTTAGACAATGAAGGGATATATTTTTAAACGGGCAAAGGGCCGGATTAGTTTTATATCCTCTAGAAATCATAGCATAAAAGATTCGACAACAAATGTCATACAGGCCTAATACAGGCTGAAATTCATACCATGATATTAAAAAAGTAAGGAACAAGAATCCACCAAACGTGAGGATCAGAAAAATAATTTTCTTTCTCTATTTTAAGTAATTTGCAGATCTCATGCTGTTATTCACAGGCATCTCAGAGCGAGGTCTATATTTCAATCCCCGGTGATTTTGTGCGAGATTCCTGGTGGGCTCAGTGGCGCTCGAGAAGCGTTTTTTTTTACAATTTGTTCGGCATTCCCCCACTAATCATGATTCCACCATTTCCCTCATCTGTCACTGCCCCCTGGGGTGTTCGATAGCTCTGACCAAGTAACATCATATCCCCGGTCCAAAAGTTGGTGGATTCATCTCTGAAGGGGGCGGAAAATTAGAAAAGAAGAAAGTGATTGTTTGCTGAAACCATTGAAGAATTTCAACAAATGTTGCGGCCCAAACAAGAAAGCCGCTTATAAGCCTATTTTGAATTTTACATCATTCACGTGAACTCGAGGACAATGTAAGGTCTGAGATTCTCACTGTGCAATGTTCTTGGGCGTGCCCCGTGCAGATTTGTAGACGTTTAGTTAGTTATTGGAGAGGGTGGGTTTCTCCATGCACTTAGACCAGTATTGGTTCCTTGTGCTTCCCTCTATGATATTCTACGAGTCTCTATATCCTACCGATATTGGTGCGTACCATCAGTCCCGACCGAGCCAGCGAGTTCGGCCTCCACTAGCTTGGCGGTATCTATAATTCTTCCCCCATCTATCAGAGGTGTTAGAGACTACTTGTTGGGCGGGAAACGTCCTTAAATTTGGCTCAGTGACCTTGGTAGACGTTTACTTGTACACTTCTACAGACCTCATGCGTCACGTGATAGAAGACAGTGGTCTTCTTAAGGACCAGAGCGGGTGGAAACTGTAAGGACAGAGGAGATGAGAGAAGCCCGGTGATGTAAGACACAGAAAGTAAACCCACTGAGACCAAGACAGTATAAGCACTTTCTTACTGAATTGTATTTCCGAAGTGAACATGATAACTGACTGAGGAAATGCAGTTGTTGTTTGTTTGTTTCAAGGAAATGCTACAATTCTATCCGCATTGAGCTGCAGCATGCAGTGCGGATCACTGTAGACAACAACACGTGATGGGGTGAATATTAACTGGGTTTGGATTGGTTGTTTTGATTTATTGACCACTTTATACCCTGAAATCATTAACTACAAGTAATGAAGCGCTGTGCTGATTTCTAACTTCACAATTCACTGTTACATACTCTAGTGTCCAGAGTCTAAACTAGTCGTATCCTGGCAACGGATTTATAACAGTCTCACTGTAACTTCAAAATTCCACATGAAGTCTTCTTGTCACAGTCTACTCCCTTTCTTGCCATTTCTTCAGAATCAGTCGACTGTTATCTCCAGAGACTCCCATAGATTTCCTATTAGCTGCTCCGGAGTTCTGTTCTCATATGAACTCTTCCTTATAAACAATTTGTAGGGACTGCATCGATAACACCGCTTCCAACAATACCCCTATTGTTGTAGGCGTGTTTACCGATCTATTGCCTAGCAATGGAGATCCTTTGCGCTTTCATCTCCTCGGTAACCTGTTTACCAAGCCACTGTCTAAGAAGGAACAATCCGGCTTTAGACGTCATGTAACGTTTATTCTGTGAACTCCCACCAGTTCTTCTCATAACCTTCATGGACATGTTCCACCAAAACTTTCCTCCTCTTGTCGCAGTATATGCATTTATCAGATAATTTTGTTCCAATATCTGCTACATTTTCTGGGGTAATATCTCTCTTCAAATATCCTAATAAAATTTTCGTAGCAATTTCCAGATCTCTCTGGTTCTCTTCAAATATCAGAAACTGGTTATTTTTTCGTGCGTAGTAAGCGAAGACATAAGTGTAGATCAACGTCTGGCGGCACTGAAGTAGGATATCAACAGTTTCCTTGAGGAAATTCACGTCACACCACGGAACATCATGAGGCTGTAATTCTTTCATCTTCCTCTCAACATAATCATACAGTTCTTCCTCAAACTTGAGCGATTGTTTGTGATTCATATATCGACTAGAGTAAAATAACTTTTGATCACGTACATATTTTGCTTCCTTCTCCGCATTGGCTTTCTCAGCTTCTTTCTGGACATTTTTGGGCCTGTCGCTACAATGGAAATGTGAATTCGTCAGACGAAGACACTCCCAACAGAACTCGGCATCACAATGTATATTTCTGCACACAATAAAATTGCAGCCATCAATTTTTTGAATGGGCGCATTACACTTTGGACAATCCTTTGTATTAATTGATATCCAATTAAAGGATTGAATGCCATTATAACTTCTAGTCCATTTCCTCAATAGATCACATTTGATAGGTTCATGGCAGTTCTCACCACATCCAATGCAGAATGTGTGAGAACACTTGCAAGTCACTGGCCGTGATTCCATGAAGTGCACCTTAATTGCATTGTTGCAGCCTGGAGACGGACACCACCTTAACAATCGACTGCACGCAACAAAGTTGTTAGTAATAAGACGCTGGTATCTGAGCTTCACTTTGGAATCTCTGATAAGTCGCATAACAGTTGCATCATCAACTAAAATGTCACATCCATGGGCAGCACATGATATACTTTGCCCTATGCCCTGGTCCATAATCTTTGTAGTAAGGTGCTGAACCAAACATTGTGTGCAGAACCTATGTCCACACTCCAACCCAGTCATCATAGGCGATGGAACAACCATGAAACAGATTTCACACTCTTCAGTGTCAGCATCTGATGTACTTCTTGGGCTCGTTATTTCTGGGCCATTAACTACAGCTGGTTTCCGGAAAGGATTTATAAGGTGCGCTTCAGCGAAAAGCTTATCCTGATCACCACCATAAAAACTATCCATTAACATTTCTTTGTCCCATTTAAAATGGCTCAGCAGAATTCGTGCTGTGGTCTCTGGAATGTCCATTATAATATTTACTTGTCTGATAGAATCTACCATACGGTCTACAATTTCATCCGTTGACAAAACTTCAAACGGATATTCATCCATTTCAGTTTGTCTTTTTGTTGAGTTACTGGACTCAGCTTCCACTAGAACGTCGTCGTCATCATCATCATAGGCATCATCAGCCCGTCTTGATTCGTTCCCAGAGTCAAATTCGTCATAAAATGTCTCCTCTTCTGAATCCATAATTTAGGAACAGTCTGTCCGCCAATATCAGAAGAACATTCAAATTTTAATTAATAAATGTGTACTAGCAGCTATTGACAGGATTTTGATTGGTGGATAGATTTGTTGACCACACATAAATGTATAGGTCGTATCTCCAAATAACTATGACACTACACACTACAAATCACTCAACATTAAATCTTCTAAGTCTGTTTTCACTAGTCTTGGTAACAGCTCTCAACAACGGTTATATGTCCGCAGTGTTTTCACTACGTTTCCTGGTGACGAATATTTAGTTTCCTTTGTCACAACGTTGTCCGCTGATTGTCACTCCACATCTGAACTTCAATCTGTTCTGCACTCACTCCAATGACGTCAGAAGTCAAAGTCACATAGCGACTGACTGTCGGTCGAGTTATAAAACCTCTTGGCGGACACCATCGAGAACACGGCTTGCTCTATTGTTGCGTGTTGATTCACTGCTCCAGAAAAGTGTTTGCAGTACAGTTGCGTAGTAACGAACGCTGTACGGACCCACAGAGAATGCCGCTTTCAACACGTGTTCTGTTGCTACGTGACGTCACATCGTATTTGTTACCCAATCACGCCATAGCAGAGGTTATTTCTCTGGATCCACAGTTCATGCTCTGAGTACTTATTTCTTAGAGGAAAAACACAGATATTTACACAATTTTAAAAAAATACTCGGGTGTCCCAGGATGAAAGGTAAATGGGAGGTCATAGTATCGGAAATGTAAACAGAAAGTTAATATATTGTGACGCGTTATCTTACGTCCATCACCGCGACAACCGCTACAATCGAAACGGACACTTCACGGCAAACGAATAGCTGGAAACTGTGGAATTCCGACAGCGACAAATCGTAGTAACGAACTGTCGTTGAGTAACAACGGGAAATACTGCACTTCCAAAGCAACGGAATGTTGAACTAACAATGAACTTCCGCGGTAACGAGTCAGTCTTCAGAAGGCCGCCGCCGAAAGCAGTCTAATATTTCAGATTTGAGGCTTTCACGGCGGTGACTATGAAGAAAGCAGTCTTCTGGGATTTGGCACCGTGTATATGTGGTGTTAACCGACGTTTCTGAGGAACGTATCGCCTCCATCTTCAGGGTAGAAGAAAAAATATAAGAAATCTGTAAGCGAAGAGACCGTGAGAACCGGTAAAAGCAGACTGCTGACCCTGAAGACGGAGGCGATACGTTCCTCCGAAACATCGGTTAACACCACATATACACGGTGCCAAATCCCAGAAGACTGCTTTTTTCACAGTCTAATATTTGCCGAGACACAGTGGAAGCAGTAATTGTGATACAGCAAGTGATAATGTAATTGTAAGGGGTGTGATTGTATAAGTGAAGTACAATAAAGATTCGCTGAATCCGAGACCCAAGTGAAGTTATTTGTCGCGTGACATACCCAACACGTGACAATATTGTGACATGTCAAACCGTTGTTGGGCAACAGGATGTGGAACGAGTTACCACGATGATAGACACTTGATAAACGGTCGGTTGCCAAGTTACGCAACTGCAAGTAAAGCGGTGTTTCTTCGTGCCGAGCAGAGCCGAGAAGAGCCGAACCGCGCAGGTTGCTACGCAGCAGTAAACAACTCTCGGCAGCGTTGCCAAGCAACGCCTCTGTGAACACGGCAGTCGCGAAACAATGAAACAAGCCGCGTTTTCCGCCTGTCCGATTGAGGGTTTAGTCGTAAAGTAACTCTAACTCTTACTCTGACTAAGGGGCCAGTATTCGGTAGAACAGAAGTCAGTCAGTCAGTCAGTCAGTCAGTCAGAAGCAGCTGCGGGAGGAAGAAGAATTAGACGCGTAATTAGAAAACTTTATGTGTGATAATCAGTGATTGTTTATGATGACTGAGAAGGCACTGGATATTTGGAGTAATTCTTTGACACTTGTATGGGACCCGTGTTATAGTGTAAATATGTGAAGACTACTGAGGACGGGGTGAACAGATCAGTGTGTAGGGTTTGCAAATTGTGTAAACCCGCAACAATGTTATAATTAATTGTAGTTACGACTTTTAGGTTTTTAATAAAGCTAATTAACAATCCGAACTGCGTCCACAGTAGCCCAAACATGTAACAAATAACTCTGTATTTCAGCATCCTCCTGCAATTGTTTAACTTAATGTCCATGTATTTCTCGTCCGTCAATATTGCAACATTTGTTTATTCATCATTATTGACGGAGGATAAATTATATATTATATAATGTTAAACTAAAATTAAAATTAAGTAGTGAATAAACAAGTGTTGCAATATTGACGGACGATAAATACATGGACGTTACATTAAAAAAGATATATATTGTGACGTGGTGCCTGAATGCCGGACAATGAAACGTCCATCACTAGACAACGGCTAGCAATTCCCAGGCAGAAATGAAAATCCTAACAGTGGGGTTTCCACCGTTACACACGATTTTTTTTAGGCAGACACGTATTCCCGCGGTAACAAGAGACTCGTTGCATAGCAGCAGGCGAAACGAAAACTTTCGACAAGGTGTTCCCTATTCAGTCAGAGTGCAAGATATAAGAGTCTAAATTGTTCATAAGAAATATATTACTGCAACGTGTTTGGCTACTGAAGACGACATTCAGACTGTTAATTGGTTTATTTTATGTACGCCGTTCTCATTCACATCAGATTTTTTCACTTTTTTTTTTTTAAAGTTATGTCTTCTGGGATATTGTATTTCTGTTGAAAGTCAAACGATTTTCGGAGGATCATGTCACCTCCATTTTTAGAAGTTAAGATTAAGCCAAGCAAGAAAAATGCGATAACCTTGCTGCTTGCTATACCTGTTTGTTTCTTGCTTGGCTTACTCTAAAATCGTGAGGATGGAAGTGATATTTTCCTCCGAAATTTCATTTGACTTTAAACATATTATACTGTTACACAAAATATGTAATTCAACATAACCACCGCTGTGAGAACCTACAATTTTCATTTTATTTGATTCTGAAATTGTAAATTATACACAGATTATTTAACAAACAATTGTAATTCCTAAGTATAGAAGAAGCATTACACTTACTAGAACAGTCACAAAGGGTGACAAGCTCCAAATGTAAAATGGAATATTCTCTTTTTGCAGGACGAATAGTAACACCATAGATACATTGGTTTAGGGAGGGAGCGGAACTTTTGACAGAGGACGAAGTGAAAGGTGTACACTGAGGTCCCCACCAGGAGGAAAAAGTGCTCGATGCCCTTGTCATAAACTCGCATCCAGTCCACCCCACGAAACGTACCTTCCTCCACGGTTCTGCAGCATTGTTCGAGTGCATCTTACGGCCACAGGTAGGACCAGGCATGTACAGCACTGCGAATGTCAACAGAAACATCGGAAAACTTCCGACTACTTCGTTTTGTCTCTCACTATCTTTTGATTTCTATCTCTACCTCCCTTTTGTCCTCTAATTCTTTTTTCGGTTTACTTTCTCATTCCTACCCACCTTTCTTTGTTTCTTTCTTCCGTGACGTTTTCAAAACTTGCAAGATTTTAGGCTCTTATGGTGATGTTTATGAAGAGCGCTATCTTCTGGCATATAGCGCCGTGTAGTTCATTCAAAGTCAGTCAACGTTTCGGAAGAATATATCGCCTCTATCTTCAGGTTCGAATAGGCCGAGCAAGATACCAGCGGCTTGCCACCTGCTTTCACGCCGATATCTTGCTCCATTTATACAAAACTGAAGATGGTGGCGATAAGTTCTTCCGAAAAGTACGGCTGACGTTCGATGCACTACACGGGGCTATGTCCCAGAAGATAGTGCTCTTCTTCACATTATTTTTTTTTCATTTCTCATTTCTTCCTAATTTTCTTTCTCTCCTTCCCTTCTTTGTTTTTGTGGGTCTTCCTCTCTTTTTCCCTTTCTATATACATGCCTCCTACTCCTACTGCCTGGACGGCCAAGTATTTGCGGTTCGAATCCAGGTAGAGCCAAGAGATTTTTCCTATACATAGAGTGCAGAAGGCTTTGGAGTACATCCAGTGTCCAATCCAACGGGCACCGGGGACCGTGAAGCGGACAGTCAACTCCATCCAGTGCCGTGGTTATGAATGGTGGAGTTATACCTCCACTCCAACACACGTCTTTATGCCGTGGTGCTAATTAATCAAGCACAGGAACAACTCAGCATTTACCTTTCATGTTCATAAATTTCTTAAAAATTCCCGCTTTCCGGCCCGGATATATCACCCAATATTTTCACTCGACTACGGCAAGGGCGACCGAGCGACCGAGCGACCAACGTTCGATTCTTGGCGGCACATCGGATTCCCCTCTTGACCACACAATTCGTACTCACTCTGCGGGCTACAGAGCTTTCTCTCCAATTAATATGGAGGATATTTTTCGTTGGGGTAAAACAGCTAAGGAGAAAATTTGTTTGGTTATTGATTTGCGGGAGGTACCAATTTGAATCAAATAATCTTCCTGAGGGGTAAAGGGTGGCCGGCTGACGAACTTTGACATATTTGAGCCGAATATATAGAGAAAATATGGGAGCCTCAATGTCTCACAACCCTATGGGCCTTCACGGCCTGTTACAAGTATAGCTTTACTTTTTACTTACTTATCCACAATGAAACAAGCGCTAGACAAACAGCGCTGACCATGGCAGCCCCAACGCCCATTGGTTCGCCCGCCGCTAGCCAAAACGTGTAAAGATGCGGACCTCCGACACACTAGTTGCCAGTAGCGTCCGCTGCTAAGCATCGTCACCCTGCGAGTCGTAGGAGCCGACGAAAAGGGAAGTCTCAAATCTGAGATAGTAAAATATGGCCGCGAGTTGCAAGGGACTCGGACCCTGCGCTTGCAAGGGCCAGCAGCATATACAAACGACAAGACCCGTCCTTTCGTCACAGAGGGTGCCTCACAAAAAGACCGTAAGTGTCGAACACTAATAAATATTTGGTCATGAACCCCAGATGGGACTCGACGGCTTACTGACAATGTGACTTTGATTCTGACTTTAACTTTGACTTCGACTTTGGTTAATTAGTAGTAGTAGTAGTAGTAGAAACCAGTGTGGAGGCGGGGTCGAATACCTCCACTGTGACCGTGCGAGTCGTAGAAAGCGACGAAAAGGGAGATTTACTTCCGCAAGAACAAGGCGATGGCACTAGATATGCTCCGAATACAGTCCGTGATCCTCAGTACTTACAGTTTGTTTGTTTGTTTGCTTGCTTGCTTGTTTCTTTCTTTCGTTCTTTCTTCACACACTACGCACTGAACTTCGCTCAAGGCCACTTTCCTCACATACGCACAATGTTATGGCTACTGACGTAATTCTTGTTTCCTACTCCACCCCCGAAAATTGTATTTATATCAGCGATACATCTGAGTGCAGACAAAGATTTAACAACTCACCAGCTGTGTTGAGGGGCACGTTGTGGCATAGTTGGTCCAGGTACTATGCTGCAAGCCGGAAGGTCGCAGATTCGATTTCCGGTGAGGTCAGCGTATTTTTAAACTGACTTAATCCTTCCAGCCGCACTGTGGCCCTGGGGTCGACTCAGCCTCTAACAGAAATGAGTACCAGGAATCTTTCTGGGGGTAAAGGGCGGCCGCTGTGTAAGGCTGATAGCGTTACCGCCATCTGTGAGCCGACTGTCTAAAGAAAATGTGGCAGCCTCGATGTCTCACAATCCTATGGGCCTCCACGGCTTCCTACCACCAGATTTTACGACTCCGCTTGGTACTCTCCAAGACCCAACGTACAAGGGAAGCAATCTGAAATCATATTAACATTTCAACTGAAGAATTGAATTTTTAAAGGGATAATAATTTATTCTATTTTTATTTTCGTACTGCCTAGAAAACACCGACAAATTTATTACCTCTGTGATATAGAGACTCCCTCACCTTGTCAACAAATTTCCCACTTTTCATGGAATCTGAAGGTTCACTACTATGTGCACAGAAATTGAAATTACACTGCTCTTCCTTAGGATCCATCTTACACTCTTCTCCCATTCGCGCATATTTATTGGAAACAGTCTCTATCTTTTTGGATTTCTAACCAAAATTTATCAGATTTCTTGTTTCGCTCATGCGCAACATAGGGGAATAAATGGTGAAGCACATTTTGGTGCTATTCTTTTCTTTGCGCCATCTTGATATGCCAGCAAAAGATTTTCCCATTATCTTTTTTCTATTCGTAGTAATGCCTTCAACAGCATAACGAATCTTAACCCACACAGACTTATTGCCATAATATTCTGCAAGGCCTTCAGTGCATTTGTATGAGCGTTACACGAGCCTGAACACAATTCCAACATGTCCAGATCAATGCTGGCGGCTCTATTTCATCCTTAATATATGTCTAAGAATTAATGCAGTATGAAGTGTCATTTGTATAGCCAGCCATCTCCACATGGTTTGCAGGCAGGTGCGTACGTTTACAAATGACATCTCAGGAAGACCAAATTTCCATGACGATATTTAGACTTTCAGATTTCTAAACCAGCAGCTGCAGAACAAAGGGTGAAATCTCCCACAATTGCTCTCACATCAGCACCTACAATATCTGGACCTAATTTGTCATATGATGTTCAGCCTGAAGAGAACGTTCATGAAACATAGGACCAGCATTTTCACCTTGTGAAAGATATCAGCATCAGTGAAACAAAGGGCGAGTAAATTGATATAAAGATAGTAATATCCGTTATATGTATACTGTAGCCGTCTTGTAGTGCACTCAATTTCACCTGTCACTTCACAACATGATTCGGCAACATAATGCCATCATCAGGCGCCCCAACTACGTCAATCTATTGCATTGCTTGCCCTCACATGTTTTCACGAAACCATTTAAAAAGTATTTAAAAAGTCCGTATTTGTCAACTGTGATAAATTTACACTCGCTAAATCTTGTTAAGATAATTCATCTTATTTGTCTTAATTAAAACTTGCATGTGGTTCGTTCACTACGGGATCGTTTTTCTTACTTTCTGTGTAAATCGCGTCTTGTGATGTGTGTTCCCTTCTTAGCTGCGAGTGTTGTAACACAACACTCGCAGCAACAGGAGGGCAACAGGACGCTAAAATATAACATTATAATAATATCCGCTTCAGTTTGGGATGTAATCGTAATTGGTTGTAATCTCGTCTAGGCTATCAGGTATCAACTTTTCAATATCACAAGGGGAATACCAGAATAGAACTTGAAATAGACAATAGCAGCCTCACTAAAATCCTCAATTACCCACCATTCAACATCAAGGCCGTCAATGAGCAGATTATCTAGATAAAATGTGGAAGCCTCGACGTCTCACAAATCTATGGGCCTCCATGGTCTATTACAGGGATAGCTTTACCTTTTACCTATTCACCAGTCAATATTTTATTACCTATTTAACGATTTAACGAAATAGATAATAATTAATCGCCAGCCATTTTGTTCACCACAAATCCCACTTCACCAGACCCCGGGATCGAACCCGGGCCGCCGCGGTGGGAAGCCAGCGTCACTCGTATGTTAGCAAGTGAACAATATGGACAACCATGTTCTTCAGTGTAACAAAAAGTAAAAACTAATTGATAAATGCGAGTCGAAATGATCGACTTTCCATAATCGATGAATTCCGAGCATCGTTGCTACATGCGGATGTATGGACGAGCTTGAACACACACGGATTATGGGCAAGCGCATCTAAAATAGAGAACACGCAGAATATTATCTATATTGTGGCTGGATCAGATACACAAAGCAGTAGAGTAACCAAGACATGTTTCTCTCTAAAAACAATTATTTGATACATTTATTCAAGAAATAACGATTCGTTTTTCTTCTTCCAAAAATCTCAAATTCTGTCATAAATAACCAGTTCTGTATCATGGAATACAACGCCATGTAGTCTGGTGAAAGATAACAGGCATTTCGGAGAAATATATCGTCTCCATCTTCAGGGTTAAAACTAATCCAGACAAGAAACTAGTAAGAAGCAGACATCCTTAGAATTACTGGGTAGGACTAGAAAGTAGAAAACACGACGTTCCGGAAACTCGATCTGTATCCGTCCTCAGGTGAGGGGAGTAGACGCCTACTCTGTTGGGTTCCTCAGAAAGAGCTAACCTCAGCCACTGCACAATCACTGTCAGATTCACTACAGCTATTTAATTACTTAAGACCAGGCTAATTCGGAAAGAGATAGTAGGAAAATATGCAATAAAAATAGTTATAAAGCACGCATATTCATGGAAGTAGGATACAAAGTGAGGTAGAATTGCATGCTACAAACCTAGCCAACAAAACTAAGAACATGAGCAGTAACGCATAGAAAAAATGGACAAATTTTTTCCATAATACTGGACGATGGACGAAGTCCAAAAACCCATTAATTCTTAGTATTATACACCATCGTCAAAACCCTTTAGAACCTACTAGTAAGCAGAGATATTCTTCCGAAATAACAGTTGATTTTTACCGGAATATTCGGCGTTATATCCGACAAGACAGATTTCTTCATAACCACCGCTGTGAGAACCTCGAGTCCCTTGTTACGAAAGTTTTCGGTATGCTACAAGATTTCTTGAATGGAAGGGAAGCACATGACAAGGTTTCCATCGTCGAAATATAATGCAAGAATATAGAGATAAAGAAGGGCAAAATTATGCCACGAACGGGAATCGAACCCGCGTCCTAAGACGGTCCTTATGGTCAATGAAACAGGCAAGGATTCATCTTGTTTTTAAAATAAGATATTTGGGGGGAATCAATACACTCCGACGTCTATCGTGTTGATATAAATCTACTGCGAGGTAAAGCACATATAAAAGAAAACACAGAAACTCTAATTGACGCTAATAAGGAGGTTCGTCTAGAAGTAAACACAGAGAAAACTAAGTATATGTTGCTGTCTGGTCACCAAAATGCAGGGCAAAATCATGACATAAAGATAGGAAACAGATGCATTGAAAATGTGGCACAGTTCAGATTCTGGGAACCACAGTAACAAATCAAATTTTCATGGAGAATGAAATTAGGAGTAGATTGAACTGGCGTAATGCTTGCTACCATTCAGTCCAGAACGTTTTGCCTTTTCTTCTTCTCTCTAAATAGTTAAAATATAGGATATACAAAACTATAATTTTGCCTGTGGTTTTGTATGGTTATGAAATTTGGTCTCTGACATTATGGAAGGAACATAGACTGAGGGTATTTGAGAGCAGGATGTTGAGGTGAATATTTGAACCGAAGAGAGATAAAGTGACGGGAAACTGGAGAAAACTAAATAATGAGGAGCTTCATAACTTGTACGCTTCGCCAAGTAACATTACAATGATCAATTCAAGGAGGATGAGATGGGCAGTGCATGTAGCACACATGGGAAGAAAAGGAATGTATATGGGATTTTGTTGGGTAAGCCAGCAAGGAAAGCGACCACTAGAAAGACCAAGACGTAGTTGGGAAGGTAATATAAATTGGATCTTAGAGGGGTAGGATGAGGTGGTATGGGCTGTATTGATCTGGCTTAGGAACGGGACTAGTGGAGGGCTCTTTTGAATAGGGTAAGGAAACTCCTGGTTCTTGAGTAGCTGTTTCATTGGTGGCTTCTCAGGAAGTGTTCAGCTCCATGGAGTCAGTCAGTTAACATAAACCGACAATAACGAAACTGTACTGAAGGCGGAACGACCAGTGATGGCAAAATTGAAATGATTAAAACAGAACTGATCGGAAGTTAACAGTCCCTCACCGTATCATGTAAGATGAATTTCATACCAGTAAATCCCCCCCCCAAAAAAAACCCTATATTTTCATTAAGTACTTCATATCCAAATATCGCATAATTATAGTTCATCTGAAGGAATATTGGTTACAACGTTCCACTGAGAAGCGTCTAAGAGCAGGAATCGGTCAACGCTATTGGCACACGTATTATTTACAAGCGCATACTGGCGCAGAGGGCCCGAACTTGAGGGTCAAGCTGCTTTCTGAAGAAATTCCTGGAAAATTGATATTTTACGCCATCATTCGAACTATGAAAAATATTACTAGTGAAAGTATGAATCAACATGGCAGCTCCAGCTCAAGCTGGCTTCCCACGGCGGCGGCTCGGGTTCGATTCAGGGTCTGGTCAAGTGGGATTTGTGGTGGACAAAGTGGCGCTGGGGCCGGTTTTCTCCGAGTACTTTGGTTTCCCCTACCAATCTTCATTCCACCAAATTCTCCATCATCACAATCACCCGGGGTAGGCTACAATAGGCCAATTAGTGGCCACCGTGCTGAGTGAACTCAGTTGGACTCTACTTCCCACTAAGAGAATTAAAAAAATTCAACATTATATCACAGTCTGCACATCTTCAATAATAATAATAATTCGATTAAGTTGTTATTTATTTACGTGCAAAATTAAGACTTCAGAGGCCAATTATAAAGTTAGCACGAGTCAACAAAAAGGATGAAAAATACACAAAACAAATTAAATATATTCGTGGTGGTAAAGGGCTTCTAGGCCGCGCCATAGCTCAAGCGGTGCGTCGCTGGCTTCCAATCGCGGCGACCCGGGTTCGATTCCGGGTCTGGTCAAGTGGGATTTGTGATGGATAAAGTGGCGTTGGGGCAGGTTTTCTATGAGTACTTTGGTTTCCCCTGCCAATCTTAATTCCACCAAATTACTCCACAATCAGCCCTACCTATCATCTGTGGCTGGTACAATAGGCCAGAAGTGGCCGCAGTACAAGGGACTTAGTCCCACTCCACCACCAATAAAAGAAAAGGGCTTCTAGCG